AAAACAAACAAAACAAAAAAAACCCCAGCAGATGCAATTCAATCTGCAAGAAAACATGTAAAAATATAAATAAGTACTCTTGATACTTAACAACCATATGGGCTATAATAATAACTGGCTAAAATACTTTTTAAAAGAACAATGTGAATTTTTTAGTTTTGATCGTTGTACTGTGGCTATGTAACTGATTAACAGAAGAGGATGCTGAATGAAGGGTATATAAAAATTCTGCACTGTTCTTTTAAAAATTATTTTGGCTCTCAAGATTGCTTTTGGTTTCTAGAGAAATTTTGGAATCAGCATGTTGATATCTACAAAAAAGCTTTCAGACATTTTAACGGGATTGCATTAAATCTTTGGTCTAAATTAGAAAGAACAACCATCGTAACAATACCCAGATTATAAATCTGTTCACATAAGGTAGTCGATGTTTGTATGTTATACTAGTCTTATATTTTGCCTACAGCCCATTTAGTTGCTTTTTTTTGGGAGGGAGGAGTATTTTATGTATTTTATTACTAACATTGGTTAAAATCACTGTTGACAATAAAAGACAGATGACATTTGATAAGTTTTATTATTGTGTTAAAATATTTATGGGCCATGTGCTTCCCTATAGCCTGCACTTGGGGTACTTTATTCCTACTACCTAACCCTTGTTATGACAAAGGAAGTTTACATCTAGATGGTGGCATTGTGTGACAGGGAGATGTTTATTATTAGATAAGATTCCTATAGGATATCTCTACACCTGTATCCACATCATATCTATACCATCAGAAATAGGTTTATCAACATCTATATATCTACATCTACACCTTTTCTACACCTGTACCTTCATCTAAGCCTACTACTTACATCCACTTGCTTCTTTATCTTCATCTGGCTACTTTTCATTTTTTTGGGAGCAAAGGAGGGTCGGACTCGAGGTGTGAGCATTCTAGGGAAGTACTCTATCACTGAGCTACATCACTCAGTCCTAAGTTTTTCACCTTTTTTTTAGGTTTCATGAGACTTTGAAGTCACAGGTGTACAGCTATTTAATAAATACATTAACTTGGCATTTTATTTCTATACAAAATGTCAGAGTTTGAGGAGATAGTTAAGTGCTACATCTTTCATCCTTTTTTTTTCTTTCTTATATTTGGTGGGGAAAAGTGCAATTATTTTTCATTGGCATATGTAAATATATTCAATTCTTCAATGTTAATAAATCTTTCTTTTCATTTGGAAGCAGTTTATTTCAAGTATAAAAAGCATCAACTTTTCCTCCATCGTTCCCTGGGACTGGTCACTAGTGCCTGGAGAAGGTTAGCGCCTTTGCATTGTCCAGATGAAAGGGATCATGTGGTAATGGTAGAGCTGCTATGACATTTTATTCTTCATCAGTAGAGGGTGAAATCATAAGCTCACCTGGGAAAAAGCTGATGAGGACTCTGCAATCTTACCTGGAAAGGGGACTAAAATCTTGATTTTGCACTCCACTGTGACTTGTCTTCCTTTTCCCATGGCTGGAGGCAGTAACGGTAGCCTTTTACTTTTTCATCCCCACTGATTTGGTGGGGGAGTTTTTTTGCTTTTCTCTAACATTTTATCTTGTGTGTTTGTTTTCCCTTGATTCCTTGGGAACTTATTTAAAGGTCAACAGATTTATTTCCAAGCATGTTGGATTGTTCATTTTAAGACTACATTTCATAGTTGTGGAAATTGAGTTATCTGGAAAAGAAACAGCAGGAATGGTATTTACAGACAGTCACCTTTCTGGAGAATGCATTTTTGGCACAGTATTCATGTAATATGGTGCCAGCAAAGGCCACCCTTAGAGCTGGGCAATTGGAGCCGTGTTCTGGTTTAGGGGTCCTGCTTTGGTTCTCCAGTGATCTGTTATCATAGTGGGAGGGAGGTAAGATGTCTGAGAAACCAAGAGAGTATGGCCACCTGGACCTCTAGAAATGGCCTCTCTTTTTCTAGACTGAAGTGCTCAGGACTTAGAGCTTTCCATCACAAAGTTGCTAAACTCTTTCAGATCTGGCCTCACCTCAGGTCATGACAGTGTCCACATTTCTAAACTAAAGTAGTGATGAAGGAGTAACTATTATGGAAGGAGTAGGAGAGGGGAGGGACTGGAAGAGTTGTGAGGCAGTTTGTCTTAATATTCAAGAGAAGAGTGCCTCCATCTTTTATTTGAATTTGAGGTTGAATAAAGATGGGTAGAGATCTCTGTCTGTAACTGGTGCTGTATTTCCTATAAACATGTGTGAAGTCCTAACACCTGATACATATAAATGTGACCTTGTCTTGAAATAGGGTTTTGAAGATCAAATTGAAGTAGGATGAGCTCTAAATCCAATGGCTTGTGTACTTACCATGAGGTAAAGACAAAGACACAGAGAGCAGGGCACCCTGAGCAGAGACTGGGAGAAGGTGAGGAAGAGTATAGGGAGAGGGAGAGGAGAGGAGAGAGGAGGGAAGAGGAGGGGAGAAGAGGACAGGAGAGAAAAGAAAGCACTGGGGTTGCCTTGCCCCAAGCCTAGCAATGCTAAAGATTGCTGACACTCACCATTAGTTTGACAAAGGCATTGAACAGTTTCTCCCTCAGAGTCTCCAGACGGAACCAATATGATGATACTATGATTTCAGGTTTCTTACTTTCTTATCTATGCAAGGAGCAGATTTCTGTTTTCAGCCACAAAGTTTGTGGTAAGTATTATGGCAGTCTTGGGAAACTAATACATAAGGGATAAGTTATTTTGAAATGTGAGGTCCTTTTCTGAAGCCATAATGTGGACATTGTAATGGAAATTACCTTGCCACAAAGATATTAGTACAGGAAGCTAATTCCTTGAAGTCTGCCAAATCAGTGGGGAGTAAGCCCCCAAGAATATGGCTTCTGCTGATGCCTCACTGAATCCTTTTGGGATGAAAAAGTCTCTCTATCCTATACGCAATTCCTTTAATTTTCCCCCTATTAGCAATCCCATCTCCCTTAAAAATTTTGCCTTTGATCAACAAAAATATTGCCATTGCCACTATATCTACCTTAGGTTAGGGTATAAACCTGTGTCTTATTTAATGGGACATAGCAAATGAGTCAGCAAATCACTAATACCATAATTATTTATCTTCTAAATAATGTCTGTGTCCTTTGCTATTGTTATGGAGCTTTTTCATTGGGATTAACCGTTGGAAACAGCTGATACTCAACTGACAAGAGGGACAATATCATGTGGGTCAAGCGAACACATTAATGTTACTAAAAACGAGTCATACAGTTTCTAAGGTACTTAATTTACAGGAAGAGACATAGTTGCTTCAAGAATTTGACTTGTCTATTTATAAAATCTTTTATAAATAGACTGGATGGTTGACCAGTGTGATCTTTTGTGCTTGTAAATGATACCATGTGGGGTCAAAGACACCAGCAGGAAGAGGGAGGTGTTGGGAAGACAGGGTAGGAGGGTGAATACGGTGCAAAAAGTGTGTACACATGAAGTAAATGCAAAAATGGTACCTGCTGAAACTACTCCAGGAATCGGGGTTGTGAGAGAATGAAGGGGAATGGTAGAGGAGGTGAATTCATGTATGCTATATTTGATAAATTGTAAGAACCTGTGTAAATGCCACTGCATACCCCCACTCATCACAACAATAAAGGAAAAAAAAACCCAAAAATTAAATAAAATCAGTGATACAACCAATTTTGCAGAGTAATGTACAATGAACAAATTGAATTTCAATAGGGTTTTTGAAAAGGTTTTGTCTGTAAGATAGACTAACTAATTTGACAAATGGAACAGAAATAGAAACATTTACATGGTCTGGACCACATGAAGAGGACTTTTAAAGCTGCAGCAATTATAGATTCAAGCTCTGCTGACATTCCCAGCCAGGCAGCCTCTGAGCCATGTGTTCTGGCTGATCATCTGGATCTCATCCTGTGGATTTTGGCTTCTGCATCAAATGGCAGTTGGTGCTAGATCAATGATGCCATTCCATGTGGTCTATGAACTTCACACATTAAAACAAACTATAATTATCTTGAATGTATAAGAATACACTCCGTACAACCCCTTCAGACTCTGCTTAACTTTTAAGGCCCAATTAAAGGTCAAGAAGTCCAGAAAGTTTTCTGTATTAATCCTATAGGTCATAGACTATATTGCAGGTTGATGATAAGGCTTTGTGTATTAGCCTTGACTTTGAAGTTTGTCAGTTCTTTGGGGAGAACAGTCAAGTATCATACATGTTTTGTACTTGTCTCAGACTAATGTATAGTGAATGAAACATTAGTAGGCTTCATCAGGTAAAACTTAATAATGTTGATGATCATAACCATATAAACCACATCACCTAAAAGCAAAATGATGATTGAAAACATTAAAGATTAAGAAACATCTATGCAATTATATGGTTATGGCTTTTATCCTTTTGATTCTTGAACCAAATTTCCTCATTAAGAAACAAAATATACACCTACTCTTTATGCCAATCTTTTCCCATGGTGATATTTAATATAGCCATAAAATTTCACTACAGATTTAATTCAAATAAATATGAAGCCAGTTTAGTTTAGTTTTGTGGAGTTTCAAGTAAGATTCCTTATTCAGGGCTTGTGGTTGTAGATGTTATAAAGCACAGTTAAATAGAAACAATTTCCACTGCTATTTGTCTTAAATGCTGCAGTACCAGGTGGATTTTTACTTTGCAAGTGCTGAAATTTTTGACTACGTGGTTTATTAGGCTTCTAGTATATTATCCTGATGTCTCTATAAACTGATTTAAAGTTTGTACAATCATTTATTAAAGTTGATTATTGAAATGAAAATCTCATGTTACATTATACCTTGTAATAGCATTATCCCTCGGTCACTGTGAGATACATGTATTAGAGTTTATTTTACCTCAGTCTTGAGCCACCACTACTCTTAAGTGTTTTTGTCACAATAGAAATTTCCTTGGAAAAACAATTTGAGTCTCACTGGATGTTGTTGACTCCTCAGGTCATGGCACTTGTGACTGTGGCAAGTGCAAATGTGACATAGGATGGTTTGGGGATGCTTGCCAGTACCCGATGAACTGTGACCTGACCAAGAAAAAAAGCAACCAAATGTGCAAGAATTCTCAAGATATTATCTGCTCTAATGCAGGTAAGAATGTTATCTTATAGAAATTCTTAAGTGAAATAATAAAATCTTGGTTTTTTTTTAATGGAAATACTTAGGCATGGAGAAATGTTGAACCTCTGAGTGAGACTACTTTTGAGTATGTTTTTAGAAATGAAATTCAAATAAATGAATAGTGAAAAAATGTCATCTTGCTAAGACTGGCAAGTTTGATACTCTCTAGCTGTTTCAAATGCCTCCTTCTAGCAGGATATTCACTGTAAACAACACTGGACAACATGTTATGTAAATTGGGAATCATGATTTTGAATGCTGCATTAAATCTTTCAAAAGAATTTATATAACTGACTTAATTATTTTTTGTTACAGATCAAGGGTGCTTTGAATATACACCTTAGCATCAAACAGAACAAAAACTTTCTTAATTTGATGGAAATTTCAGATGTATAAGATATGAAGAATATAGTGACCGCAGGCTTTTTTGTTTGACCAAAATATTTTGTGTTTCATAGAAGTCATTTAAAACCATCTTTTAGAGAATTACAGAGAAGCTGTTAAAGATAATTAGCAAAACCATATAAAATAAAACTGCTCCAATTTATATTTCAATTGTATTTAGGCAATGTTACTATAAATAAGTAATCAGCCTTTGGACACTGGAGATTTAAAGTTGGCTTTCCCCAACCATGATGGAATGTGAAAATTCCAAAGGGAAAGTAATAAAACATCCTATCCCAGAGGCTCTGCTTCAATTTTTTTGAAACATGACCTGGACTCAGTTGGCTTTTAAGCTAGCTCTCAGAGTAATCCTAATGTAAATCCAGGGATGTGAGCCATTGCTCAGCATGGAAAGGTGAGAATTTGACAATGTGAGCAAATAGCTTCCCCCTTCTGCAAGCAGAACTAGGACTTTTCCACAGTCTGATTGCAATGAATCAGTTGGTGTAGATTAAGCTATCATGGTGTTTTGCTACCAGAAATCAGGGCCATTCCCAGAACAAAGTATGACACGATTTATCAGAGGCCAGAACAGATGGTCTGAAGAGTCAGGTCACTTTCTGTGTCATGATGCTCTCTCCTCACTTCTCTTCACACTGCAATCTTTTCTTTCCTCCTGGTAGATTTCTTTACCTTCAATTCATAGCTCCCACCACCACCAAGACACACACACAAACACATACAACACACACCCTATAGTCTCTTTCATATTGAAAGAGCTCATTCTTTTCAAATTTATTCAATAGTAAGACTTGGATTGTATTTTGGATTTAAATCCTTTGTTTTAATTAATTTACTTTTTTGCAAATAAAATTCAGGTATGAAACAAACTACTTTATAATAAAATAACGATTAATCAAGGAATCTGAACATGCTTTACTATTAAAGAATGTGATTCACCAAATTAACATATCTTAAAGGAGATAATATCAGAATCATCTTGATAGACAATAGATAAAGCATTTGATAAAATATAAAACACATTTTAAAGATATATGTACCTTCTGTCTTTTCTTAAACATTGATAGTTTTATGTTATCTGCCATCCATAATTCAGTTTTCAAATGGTTCAATAATATCCTTTATGACATTTTATCTGTCCTTATAGAATCTAATCTAGATACAGCTTCATTTAATCTGGATTATTTCCATAGTCTGTGGTCTTATATCATTGATAGTTTTGAAAATTATTATCCCTGGCTCATTTTTTAAAAATAAAAATGTTGCTCAATTTGTACTTGTGTGATATATTTACTGATTTTATTAATCCCATATTACATCTAAATTATTTTTAGAAGTGCTTCATACAGCAATACAAAACAAATTTATCAAAAAAACCGCAAGCTGTTTGCAATCTACTCCTCTGCACCTTCACGCCACCCTAATCATGCCCAAGATCAGGGAATATAGCCAAATACTCTATTCACAAATTGTTTGCATTCCTCTTATCTTCTCCCCTGTAGAGTGGTTATGGTACTCATTTGAAATACACGTGAATTTATTTGTTTCAGATTATCGTCTGTTTCAGGGTTTTTTCCCTTCCTTCCTATGTTCATTAATATTCTTATATATTTTGTAATGTATAGAACACAAACATGTTTTTAAAAGTCAAAACTGCAAAAAGCAAACTCTGGGAATCATCACTGTCTTATTAAGATAGAATCCATCTATGCTGTTACTCTCAGCTTTATAGACAATCAGCTTTGGTGTTTTCTGTTTCATCTGTGTATGAGCTTCCTTTTGTAATTATGTGTGTGTGTGTGTGTGTGTGTGTGTGTGATTTTTTTCTCCTTATGTACAAGTGATAGCACACTATGCTTTTAACAATTTTCCTTTGCCACCCAACATTTTCCCTTGGAATTCACTCCATATCAGCTCATGGAAATCTTTCTCATTCCTTTCTCAAAGGCATAGTAATGAATTCTATGTATATTACATCATTTATTCTATCAGTTTCTTAGACTGATCAGTCATTTAGAGTTTCCAGTATTTTGAAATTGCAAATAAAAATACATGGAATGATCTGGCCCATCATCCATATTTTCATATCTGTGGAGGTGTGTCTTCAAAGTAAATTATCAGGAGTAAGATTGCTGGAGGACCAAAACTCAATGTTATATCTTTTCTTTTTCACTTTGTTCTCAATGTCTAATCTTTTCATATTTACTTTGGCAATTTCATTCTCATTTGTCTTTCTTCTAATATCTATTTTCACCAGCCTAATTCATGACTACTCCTTTCAAATTGCATTATCCTATGGCTTCTGTCAATTACTCTTTCTCTTTTCATGATATAGTTCTTTGAAATCAGTCGAAACTGAAGGGAAAGAGGTGGCAAAATGGCATAGGGCTCCATGAGATGGAGCTAGAAACCAAAGAGTTCCAGAAGCTAACTATTAAGGGACCCAGTAAAGTCACAATGTACAGAGTGAGGTGAGGCTCCAGTGCCTTGGCCTGGGGTGTAGATTTTTGTTCCAGTCTGATAAGTCATCCTAGAAAGAGCCAGTTATAATAAGCAGTATGAGAAAACAGAACTAAAATAATCTAGTGTAAGGCAGAAAACCAATTGTAGAAAGTGAATTGACTGGCAACCAAGAAAAAGAAGCAGTATGACACAGCATGAACACAGGAGTCTGTCACATTTGCCTGGGTTTCCATATGCCATATTTTAGAGGCTCAGTTGTGAATTCTGCTGTATGGTGAGACAGGAAGTCTTTGAGCGTTGTAAACTTCCCACACCAGACAGGAATGGCTCACATGTGTGGATGAGAACGAGCTCGGCAGTGGGAGATGTCACTGAAGAGTTGTAGAATTTGGAGACAGAGGTTGTTTCAACCCATCTTTCCAGAAAAACAACTTCTTCAACTTTTTTGTACATAGCCCTAACCAAGTTACTCTCTACTTTCAAACCATATCAAGTTCCTTAACCAATATTCTTGATCTCTGCTACCTGCATGCAACCTACACTTTATCCAAACTCAAGCTAGACTTTTATTATTTCATTGTTTTTTTCTAAATCTAGCCATTTTCCTCAACATTAAAAACCTTTTCTCATGCCCACTGGATTGAATTCTATACCATTTATCAGGTACCAATTCAAGAACTTGTGCCTTTCCTCCTTCCCAGAGCCACACTGAGGGTTATAATTTCTATCTAGCCTTTGCCACAAATCTATTGCAGATATCTTTGTGTGTGCATCTTCTGGTTATATACATATACATGTATGCATATACATATATTTAAATGCAGTATATATGGTTTTAGAATAAATAGTTATGTATCAATACATATACTTGCATTAGCTATATTTTTTCTTATTAATCTATGATTTACTTAATTATCTTCATCTTTTTATCTGCTACAGCACTTTGTTAATAACATCATAGGTCACTAAAAAGTTGAATGACTAAATATGTGCGTGGTTGAGAGATAGAATGAGAAGATGTGAAAATAAAAAAGAAGGGTGATAATTAGAGAAAAAGTAGATGAAGCAACACCATAGCATTAGATATCAAATAACTATTATGAATTAAAATAGTTTCAGAAAAAAGAGAAGAAAACGAAGTCTCATAAAAATCAAATTCATATGAGTATTCTCCAGGTAGAAAATAACAACTGCAGAATTCATAAAATCACCATTTATAGTTACCTATGATTGAAACACTTCCGCATATTACAAGTGATCTGGGTGACAGAATCATGCAGAAAGCATGACAATGAGGACATTATCAGGGTCCACAAATTAAGATAAATCTCAAGAAAAATATTTGAAATATTATTAATATACTTAATATTTCAATAGAAGAAGGTGAAGAACTCAAATTTGTCTGAAAGCCTCCTTACACAAGATGCAGCAGTGTGTTTAGAGTGACGACTGAGTTATATACTTACCTCTTGGTTCCCACAGGCACCTAATGAACTAGAGATTATTTGCAAATAGGAACCTGAGAATTAGAGGTGAAAGTAATGAAAATCTCAAAAACTCATAGATGGTGAGGATTAAAATCTTGACTGTAAGTCTACCTTAATACAAAGCCTATTGCTTTTTTCAGAGTACCACACACAAAATTGCCAGTACTCTGACACTGAAGCCAAGTATCATCTTTGTTTCCTCTCCATCCCTTATCCCTCACACCCAACTGGCCACCAAATGCTGTCTATTCTTTCTCCTGAAATATTCCTTAATATGTTTGTCCTTTCTATACTCACTGTCACTCCCCATCCAGCCTCTATGGTCTTTCCTGCAGACAAATGTAGCCACCTCTTCTCTCATTTACTTATATCCACCTTCACCTCATTTCAGCTCATTCTCCACAAGAGAACCAGGGAACTTTGATGTACAGATGGTCACATGATCCCTTGCTGAGAACATTCTCATTCTTGGATTGAAGCTGGAAGTCTTTAACATGACCTATGAGACCTCCATAAACTGCCATTTTAGTTGCCTTATTCATTTCATGACACATTTTGCATTATTTTACATACTCTAAACCTCTTTGATTTGTTCCCCTTTTATATCTTCTTCTACCACTGGGCATTTTCTGTTTTCTTTTGCTGGAACCAAGCCTCTATACCATCTAATTTCTCTTCTCAAATTTTTTTCAGCTTGGCTCTCAGTTTTCAGCTATTTCTTCAGGGACTCTTGGTTTGACCTCCAGATCTCAACCAACTCTACTTGCTATGTGCTTCTGCAACACTTTGCACTTCTCTGTTTATTTTAACACATTAATTTCTTCTCACATAAATCTCTGAGAGAAGGATTATGGTTGCCTTGGTTGTCTATTAGGTTTCTAGAGTCTAGGGTAGTATCTGGTGGCTGATAGTTATACTTTTTGCCTGGTAATTGCCATATCAATTAAAAATTGAATATATATATTATATATATAATATATATGCATGTGTGTGTAAAAAATATATATATTAAAGAGTAGTTATCCTATCTCCTCAATATCATTAGAGTGCAATATTGACTGTCAGTGAAATTACTCTTGGGGAATATAGCCAAATCTTCAGACTTGGATGTGCATGTGGCTTGTGGTAGACCAGATGACTCTAGTGTCTCTGTATCCCTCCAAGCTGCCTTCAGATTCTGTTGAAGTTCCAGGAACCCATGCCTAAGAAAACCCACTGTGGTCCTAATCATCATCAGAGCAAGGGTATCAGTTAATTCTGAGGATATTAAAATAATAGGGACATATAAGTTTTTCATTAGCATTTGCTAATGAATTATTTCCAAAAATATGTCTTATATAAATAGAATGTTCAAACATTGTGCAAAACAATGAATAAATACTGGCATGAAAGATAAGCGAGGTTACTACACTCTCAGAGCTTAGAATTTTCTGCTCTGGTTCACTTCAGACACAGGTGTAATCAGAAGATATTTATTGATGCATTACTTGGAGGGACATGTACACAGTAGCTCTGTACTTGGAGAGGGCACACTTACATTCATTAAACTATTAGAGGTCAACAATAATAGCTGTGAGATATAAAATATAATCACTGCGGCATGATAATCTCAAAAAGGAGTAGCTTATTCTCCACCTAATCACACCCACTGAAGTGCATAATTAGAATATTAAATTGATTTGAATTGTCTATCCTCTTAAAAGAAACAGGATAAAATGTCGTTAATTATAATTTATATGCATGTATTGATTTTTCTCTATTTCAATGGTTTAGGTACATGTCACTGTGGCAGGTGTAAGTGTGATAATTCAGATGGAAATGGACTCATTTATGGTAAATTTTGTGAATGTGATGATAGAGAATGTATAGATGATGAAACAGAAGAAATATGTGGAGGTATGTATATCAATCATGGAAATTAACAAAAGTAACCATTTTTTTGCCTATTTCATTTTATTTTTATCTTTATGTAAATTTCTGCATTGATTTACTATGTCAATTTGAGCCTATGTTTATGAGGAAAGCACTTCACAAAAGTAAGGTTAGTCTAAGGCACTCTGAGCAGACAAGTACTTTTTAAATGCAAAACTGGATTGTCCCTGGAGGAGAGGTACAGAATTATGGCAACAGGCCAGTTACACAGCTCTGAAGTTGTCCTACTGGGAAGTCATCAGTTTTGCTCACCTTAGTCACTATTTTACTGTCTTTTTTCTCCTCCTTTCTTAATGGTATGTTTTAATTTCATTCTTTTTCTAAATCAGACACCTTTAGATAGTCTTATGTCCTATGGGGGACACTGAAGTCAATAGGATTATTAGCTTAGAACTTAATTCCCTATACTTATATGACATTTTCCACAGCGGTATATACCACCATTACTCAATCCATTTTTCTGTTGTACCAATTCTTGCATGTTTCCTAGTACTGAGTGCTACAGTAAGTCCTTTGCATTGATTGTGTTAAATCTCGCAGCATTGCTGCAGGGTAAGAATTACCCTAGAACTTTATTCACACAGACAGATGTGGAAACTGTGAGTTGGGTAACTTAGACAGTTTCATTCCATCCATTATAATAGAATTGAAACTTGTGTCTATCTGACACTAAGGACTATGTTCCTGAACCCACACATTTCAGAATTGTATCAGTGCCCAGGAGTCTGGAGTTCCTCACCATCCATAATTTCCTTTTCTACTCCTAAGCCTTGGCCCATAATTTCCATTTTCAGCCTCTACTGGCACAGCAAAATACAAGTAGGGAGCAGTGAGAATAGTTTCAGATAGGTCAATTATTCTTTGCTATTATAGAACTTACATTTTGCTCCTCTCTACCAGGAACCTAATCCATGTTATTCTGGTCCAAATGTAGAAAGAGTGGTTTCAGAAAAGTATTTTCCCTGGATCAAGGACAGACATGGCCAGAAGAAACCAAATGATCCTGAGAAAGCATCAACAGCATATGACAAGCTGCCCCTTTGATGACATTGTTGCTTTCCCAGTCTTGCTGTAGAGTTGCAGGGATATTCTTTCATTAGATTTGCTTGATCCTTGCTCTCTTGTCTCCTAGCTGTATATCCTACCAGGATAAAACACACATGCCAACATACATACATACACACGCACACCCACAAATCTTCTCAGTTAGTGAGCAAATTAATGTAAGAATTCATTGCAGAAATGGTCATTGTCTATGAAGTTAGGGAGTGGTACTCCAATTGCAGTTCATTTAGACAGAAAACATGCCATGATGTGCACGAGTCTCTCTCTCTCTATTTCTCTATAGCAGTCTTTGTCTAAATCTCTCTCTCTGTCTCTTGATGGAAGTCTCATCAAGACATGAATGACCTAGGAGACCAGAATATTTTATTATACTTTCCTCTTCTTATGTGAGCTCCACAGACCGTACTAATGCTTTTGACATTGGCCAAAGGTGCCATAATGTTAGAATGAAACACATGCTATAAAGCAATTGAAAAATAGCCTCACAGTAATTTTACCATAGGCTGTTTGTAATTATGGCTGAAGCAGTAGAGAGTTGGAAGAACAAATATTTTAGCTATCAACTCATAAAATAAACTCTGATAAAACAGAAAAACTAGTCTACAAACTAAAACATGAAGAAGGACATTAGTTCATACTTGGATGGTGTAACTATTAACAAGAGTGGACACAAGAAGTGAATTTTTGGGTAAATGTCATCTTTTGGGAATTTGTACAGGGCTGGTTAGACTTGAGTGGAGGATGTAGTGATACGATAGTTTATTATAGACGGATGGGTGGGACACGCAAATGAGCAAATAACAGTTTGTGGAGAGGTAGGAGCTGAAAGTGTAGCATCTGGGCCCCAAATGATGGGCACCCTTACCTATCATTTATACTCCCTTGACACTACAGTAAGAATTTGATGATAAGACCAAGAGTCCACTGTTTTTTATTGCTATAAATCAGGACTAAACATTGACTTAGCTGAGAACCTCTGTTCCACGTGGTGGAACACAACAGCTTGTGGGACACAGTTGAATGAAAAGATGGATTATTTCCTCCGGTTTAAAAATGGTCTAGTTATTAATACTGTTTATTTAAGTAAATGCGAACTGTTGCTTTCACAGTAGTCAGTTCCAAATAAGTGATTTGAGTAACTAATTTAAGAAACATCCTTAGAATAAATGCTTATACACATCTGAGTTTGATGCATATATTTGAGAGAGCAAAGTAATAGACTTTCACAGTCATTCATGTCATTTCTTTAAAAATGCTTTCATTTGAATCAGCTTCCTGTGTAGGGCAAGCTAATCAACACATTGGCTTGCTTTCCTTGTATAATTATGCAGGTGCAAACACAACTCTAATGTTTTTGGAGAAAACTGTATAATTTGATTATTTTAAGAAATGGACAGAGACCTCTTGTTATTTTCAAAGGTGAAAGTGATCATGAAGAGGTAGAAAGTTAACGCTGCTTTGAAAGGTTGCTTTTTTCCTCACCGTATAAAATTCTTTTGGGTAAAGGCCATGGGAAGTGTTACTGTGGAAACTGTTACTGCGAGGCTGGTTGGCATGGAGATAAATGTGAATTCCAGTGCGACATCACGCCCTGGGACAGCAAGCGGCGATGCACCTCTCCAGACGGCCGGATCTGCAGCAACAGAGGTGTGTCACTCATGCACACTTCCACACAATGGGGAGACCAACAAAGCTCCTAATTGTTCACGCTCTTCCTCTCTGTATTTCCTCTAGTGTGGGAGGGAGTCATCTTTTATAACCATTTACTTTGATGTAAATCAGTGTTTACCATACCAACAAGCTTCCCTTTCTTGTTCATTACTGAGTAGAAAACAGAAAGATAGGACAGTTGCTGTCGTTCTTTAAGCTTTGCTGAGCAAATAGTTAACATAGGGACAGGAATTTCTTTGGCAGCCATCCAGAAATGGCACAGTACAGTTAAAAGGCAATTCTTGTAGATACTTCTGCTAAATGTCTCTTGACTAACAGAACCATCAACATATGAGCATCTAATTATCCAGAGAGCATTCAGAAAACCCTCATGTCTTAATTATGAGTAATGGAAGTCTTGGCTGAAATATAGAATTGATATAGGTGCATTTAACTTCTATATGTAAAGTTTGGAACTGAATGCATCAGATATAGAAACTATGAGCAAATAGGCACATGGAATTTAGACTGACCTTAAGCAGGATTTTACGTTGAATTGATAGAATATAATTTAAAGTCAGTTAACCTTGATATAAAATAAAAGTGTAGATAGTTTTTTAAAATACTGGAAAATAGCTGTTAGTTTCCCCTTTGTCTGCTCTGAAGATAGATAAAAGGGAGCTATGCTGGGTTTTCATTGTCTACTTGATGTTTCCTTCTATACAGTTGCAAAAATTTAAATAGGTGGATAAATTTCATCTCCATTTCTATAAAGGAATAACTGATTCATTTTACTAGATGATGTTCACGTGGAAAGCCTTAACGTAAGACCTCTTAAAATTTGACATAGAAGAGTAAGATGAGCCACATCTGTCTGCAGAAAAAGGAAAGCAAAAGTCCTGAACTTGAAACAAAAAAAAATCATGAAAATTCTCCTTTGTATCCTAATATATATCATACTAACCTACTTTGTGTTTCCTTCTAACACATAAGGACTCTTTTCTGCTTAAGTCCTTTGTAGTCAGTAGTCCACAGGCATCATTTTGTCAATGTATGACCTGTACAACCATGAAAGATAACCATTTAGATGTTGAATCAAGAGAGGAGGAAAGTGGAATTGATTGGGCATGGATTGTGGTCAGCTCTGTACCAAGTTGTGTGGGCTGTGAGGAGCAGGTATCCTTCTGAAATGCACACAGGACCACTTACCAACAGTCCTGCCCCATTCTCCCCCATGCTTGGGACATTCTCATTTGCAGTCTGGTAGAGGTGAAATGGGAAGAGGCTTGTGTTTGTGGGGTTCTTAGCTGGGAATGTCATGGGTGTAGGAGAGCAGGGCTCTGAGATGAATTTGTTTTCTCGGAGGGTACCACTTCCTTATCACTGGTTACCTAGGTAGAAGAGAGATCCTTGCACACACCTACCTTGTTTTCCTTTTTTAGCCCAAATATTGGGGTCAAGAAAACAATGCTGCAGATGTAAGTATTTGGTGATGGGCTAAATGGACTCTGCTGCCCACATGGATCAGTCACAGTTTCACACCAGCCAGAGAAGCTACGTCTTCATCAGAGCTGCATGCCTGGTGGTGCCTGTCTCCTATGCCATTTATACTGCTATGAAAGCAATGTGTATTCACTGTTTTTAAATTCAGATTATAGAACATAGAATATAATTAAAAAAGAAAATGACTCACAATCTTAATATCCTGATATAACTTCCTTTACATTTTGGTACATGACCTTTCAGCTATTTATTTATTTAAATTTATTTGTGTGATTCCTCCTGTCCCTGTAATTTCTTAACCAAACACAAATTGAATCATACATCTAGCATGGTAATGCATGCCTGTAATCCCAGGACTCTGGAGACTGAGGCTGGAGGATCACAAGTGTGAAGCGAGTCTGGCCTTTATAACATGACTCTTATCTCAAAAAATTGATTGAATAAAATTGAATCATACTACACAATGATTTTTAATTTGATTTTTCCCCCTATCTTTTTGTGCTCCAAAGCAAAAAACTGATTATTACTCTGAATGACCTACTCCGTGATACACACATGACATTACTAATTCCTCATTGACTGATCTTTGGGCCACTAGTAGTTTCTTAATAACATAAATACAATCATATTTTATGTTCATTAACAGGGACTTTCTGATTTTTTCTTTCTGTGGGATACATTAATTAAAGTGGACTGTTACTGTAAATAATAATGAATGTCTAAAAAGTACATATTGTGAGTTTTCCACCCAGGAAGTTGTATCATCTTGTACTCTACTTCAGAACAGGAGAGTGCCATTATCCCACACCCTCACCAGCCCTGGGTACTAGCATTCTTCCTCATCTGAGACAATCTATCATCTAAAAACTCTGATTTACTATTGCTCTGAACACCTGTTGCCTGCAATCCTCAGTAATATCAAAATGCTTAGTGGTGAGCTTTTCTTGTGGATCACTACTACTCCACAACATTTTCTGTTGTTTTTTGCCTTTGCCTATTTTGCTTTAGTTATATTTAACCTTTATTTTTTGACTCCCCAAAGTCATTTCTATGTTTGTGAAAATGCTCTTTGTCTTTTACATGCATATACCTGTTTATTTCAGTTTTTTTTAAGTTTTTTTGGGGGGGGTAATGGTATTTTGGTCCCAACCCAAATTTTTATGTAGTTAAGTCTATTTTTTTTCCTTTTAATAATTCTGCTTTGGATTTTTTGAATAAAAAGCAATTTTGTTCATTTTCTGTGGTTTTATTTTGTACATTTAAATCTTTAATCCAACTACTTACTTTGATGCAAAGAGGTGAGAAAGAGATCTAACTTTATTTTCTTCCCAAATGATTAGCTGGTTGCCCTTAAGAGAATTACAGATAGCCCATGCAAAGTAAATATGATTTGCAATGAGGCATTTTCCTACAAAAATCTTCCAGTGACCAAGGTTACAACTCTCAGCTCAATCTCCAACACACTCTGTCACCTGGACCATCTGATGCAGGAAACTAAGGAACTTACTTAATCCTCTTCAGGTGCACCTCAGGGTCCCCTCATCCATCACCACCCTTCTCAATTTCTTCAGTGCCCTCAGGTTGTACTTCTGATGTCTCCAATTACATTTCCTTTTCTCTGTGTACCCAGATTGCCTCCTCTGATTATTCCAGCCCACAGTTAGTCCTTCTTCCCTAAACTCATAGCATTTACATCCTAGTTTATAAGATGTTAGTACTCATACTTTTAGTGTTTGCTAATTTCTCTTTCCTTAGCATTTATTTGTCAAATAGATGTAAGCTTTTTGGGACCAAAAATGATATGTCATGTCAATTATTTTCGTATTATCTTTTTGTTGTTGTTGGTTTTTTTTACTATCTTTAAGAGAAACTAACACAATGCAAATGGCATATCCCACAATCACATAATTATAGATAACTTTTGTTTATTTATTAAGGAATCTCTGCTATCAATTTCAGATGGTGTTTTTCCTTTTAATGACATTTTAACCTGAATATGTAGATTTTCCAAATATAAAGGAAGCAACAGAAAACAAAAGCAACATGTGAGATACTTTCTTTCATGGTTTTCCTTGACTGGGACCCTATACAATTCTTTTCCCCATCTAGGGACTTGTGTGTGCGGTGAATGTTCTTGTCATGATGTTGATCCGACTGGTGACTGGGGAGATATTCATGGGGACACATGTGAGTGTGACGAAAGGGACTGCAGAGCTGTCTATGACCGATATTCTGATGACTTCTGTTCAGGTAAGATTGCTCCTAATTCCTATTTTTAAATAACAAGATATTCATGTCCTTATTATCCAGATTCATGCTAGTTCTTATAGACATTGTGAACGAAACTGAATGTGCATTCTAAAACATTCGATATTTGCAGTGTTCTCACTAGTAACTTGAGAAAGTGCCAGAGAATTCATACATTTGGCAAAGGCTTGAGATGAAAGCCCACTCACTCTCTTAAAATTAGTCTAATTCTTCACCAAAGAGAACCATTAGCTCCAAATATCTGCTCAACTCCACATAAAACTAACAATCAACCTATTCAGCTGACTACAGTATCATATTACAAAATTTAGAATAAAACAGTTCCCAGGAATATTTTTATGCATTAACTATTTGACAGGGTTTATACCAAAGTTATTCTATAATATAGTCTAGAATTGAATATTGATTAATGGATTTGGAAATCTTATACTGTACATATGTATGGAGTAGATACTATTTGCTAGGGTCTGTTTTGGGCTTCCATGAAAGAGACAAACATGGTTCTTGACTTTTTGGAGCTTGCAACCTAAATGCAAAGAAAAGGATAGATAAAGCTAGACTGTGTAATTGTGAAGAAAAACACAGTTATCTAAAGAGTGTCATTCAGTAAAAATAGAGCTGTGGACTTTCAGTCCAGTTATGTTTGACAATCCGAAAGGCAGAGACATATGCATATATAAATCTCTTTAGTCCTAACTATTTGGTTGATGCATGTAAACAGATAAAAATTTCCACTGATCTCCTGTAAAGTTTGCCAGCAAATGGATATAAAGAGCTTCTCCTTTTAATCATGACTGTCTAACTTCACAGGCTGAAGGCAGCCTGTTGGTAGAACTTCCCTATCCAGAAGGATTTCCCTCTTTTGATAATCCTTTGTGTGCCAGAGGATTTCCTGAACATTCTGGGAGCACTGTTCTTTTGAGGGGATTATTCTACTATTATATATGTGAGTGTTTCATTACTGTCATTACCAGCACAGTGACAATAAAAGGACCAACGACTATTGAGCAGCTTTTATCAGACAAACATATGTTGAGGATGTTGGGCGATGTGTTTGTTTGGCATTTTAATTGGGGTGATGTGGCTGTTCACAGAGGTTTTGTTGTGTGGTTCATACATTGCAGGATACTATTGGATCACCATCTCATGGGGTTCTGCCTTAAAAGGCAGGCTTTCAGGTAATGAAACATGAGGAAGGCATCCTTGAGAGAAAACCTGGAGGGAAGTGATCTGTTCACGGTATGAGAATCAGTTTGAAATCACCAGAATGTACTAGGACGGAAGGGGACTGTGAAAGGTTAAACTGGTGAGAAACAACTGGAGTTTTTGACCTTGCTGCAGAACCAAGCGTTGTTCTAAAGGTGATAAGGAGTTCATGATCGTTTAAGGGAGACTAATGGTATTGTCATCCAGTTTCCAGTTTGGTTATTTGGGCAAATGTCAGAGCCATTTATTCAAGAGGGGAATAGAGAAGAAAATTAACAAAATAGGTTATAGATATTGTGAGCATAGAAGACCAATGGAAAGTCAAAGTTCATATGTTTTCCAGCCTGTTGAATAGACGAGTGAGATCTGAACATGAGTTTAGAGTTAGTTGTAAGCTTAGAGAGATTGTTAAAACTATATTGGGCTTCAGGAAATACCAGTTAAGAATGTCATACAAAATTTTTTCTGGAGATAAACATGAATTCACACAATTTGAAATGAGAAAATAAAAGGGATAATCAAGTTATATATAGAAACTATAAATTTATGACATGTGGTTATAGTACCAATTTTTTTAAAAGATGAATATGTTCTTACCTTGTTAGATCCATGATTCTGATCTTGGATCTCATTTTTGGGTAGGTTTGAAAAATTCAAAATTAGTAACAATTTATGGTCAAAAAGCAGGGAGGTAAAGATGGTTGATGACACCACAGTTGACATCTTTATCAACTTCGTAATTTAGTAATATTTCGAAACCAGTCCTGTACATTAAACAAGTAACATGTCTTTAAGGAGATCTCCCTAGAATCTAATAACTTCTGCATCTGCCTTCTGCCCTAGTTATCTCTTCCTCACATTTTCCTTCTTCCCTATCCAATAAGATCCTGGAGAATAGTAGGCAACAGAGCAGTTCTGACTGCATGGCTGTTGAATTTATCAGGAGAACATTTGGGGAGAGAATGCTTCATCCTTTATATGTAGCCTCCATGCCATGGGGGTAGACAGAGATGGGAAGAAGTGACAGGGCAATCAGCTGTGATTTGGTCAATAAGACACCGATCTGTAATTGTGATTTTATTTTTCATTAGTTGAAGTGGGTTGAATGTGACTAGTCTACCACAGTATGGCTCCCACACTTAGGACGAGGAATTTAAGAAAGAAGAAACATTAACAGAGATTCTATTCTGTCAGACCCTTACTGTGTTCTTTCATACACCTCATTCCAGCTTTACTTTTGTACTTACTCAGGGAGGAAGACATTGTTACCTACATTTAACAGAAAAGGAAACAATTTTGAAAGAACTAAGAAGCTTGACAAGGCTCACCTGCCATTAAATAGCATCTGAAAATACATCTACACTAAGTACTCATGTAATTTAATCTCCAGGTGAGGCAAATAATACTGTTCAAGTTTAGTTATTTTGGTGAAGAAGAGCTATCCTCTAGATGCTCAAAATTCTTTTAGGACTAAGCTTTTCTGAATAGCGTGACAATCTGAGGCAGGCATCAATCTCTGGAGGATTTCTCCACTAAATCTGTGGAATTCTGTATATTATGCTTAGAGAGTTGTTAGACTTCACAGGTTTGCAATTATCACTCTAAGTTACTCTGTAGGAAGGGTGCCATAAATTGGCTATTGAGTATGTTAATACCTTTGTGTTATGAGAGAGAAGAAACCCAACTACCTCAATGTTTTCTACCAACTCTTGCAAGGCTGGAATGTAATAAGGCTCAGATGAAATGAAATTTTATTTTTGGCTCCTGTTATTGCCATCCTGGGAATTTTGGTCTTATTTAAGTCCATGGGAAATCTCTTTGTAGGTTAGTTTAAGTTGATACTTTTAATTGATGTTCTCATTTTATTCATTCATTCCCACTCTATCCACATCTAATCAATGGTGTACTCAAATGTAAGTATTTTGTTGCTAGTACACTATGTGTACAGGGGTACACATATACTAAAACATAGTGCCTCCTTCCAAATTAGTTGGTTTTACTTATTTCATCTTTCATTCCTTGCTGTTGTTCAGCACCAGTATTTGTGTATGTTCATTCATCTACAAACAAATATGACTCATGCATACACACACACACACACACACACACACACACACACACACACCTCTTTGAAAAGATACTGTTGAAAATATTTGATCATGATACATTGACTGGGGGATGCCACCAAATCCTAGAGTGCACAAATTGTTCTGTTTGTTGCACTCAATTTCTTTCCTAATTCTGAAAAAATTCCTTTATTACTGATGGCTGTTTACCACCCTGGTCTAGTTCCCTAAATCCCATAATTGGAAAAATGTGCTGCAGTGTGACCTTAAACTTTATCTTTCAGCTTTATCTTTATCTTCCCTGCCTACTAAAATGATGAAAATATAAGAATACTCTTGGTTGAGTGTTTCATTAGTTTAGAAAATGTGATCATTTGATAGAACTTTATTAAATGGGAGTTTGTCATTGTGGATTACCAAAGCATTAAGGAAAATAACTGAGGGGAATGGTTAAGTATATTTAGTTAACAATGTCTTAAAAGAAAAATCAATATATTGAATAGTTTTTTTAAAAAATTAAAACCTTGTTAAAATGAATTCATTCCCTGAAGTTTTTCCTTGTTGATGATCTTCATGATATTTGGTAAGCAGCTACTTGTAAACATTAGATTTTCATTCGAGGGCATTATTTGATTACTTAAAAATAAATACCCTTTTCAGCAGAAAAGTGTTTGTTTGGAGTAGATTCAACTAAATTTTTTCCTGGCCTGATATTTCTAGAGTTTAGGTAGTCTAACTCAAAAGAGCACAGTAATTGCAATTAAAAACTGTATTTTGGTGTCAACACCCTTCTTAAAATAGCCCAAGAGTCTGTGGTTGCTACCTTGCCAGTGTGGCCATGGTGCTGCTTGATAACTGGTCATGCTGCCAACCCTCTTGTGCATATGTTGTAGGTGAGACTTCAGTCCCATGCACAGAAGGTGTACTATGACAACACTGAGCACTGTCCCCTCTTCCATTGCTCTGTGTGTGTGTGTTTGTCTACTAGTGTAGACACAGTCTTTTGAAAACAGTTCTTATGCTTGAATTCTTCTGATGTTTGAGACCAAAGATGAACAACAACATTCTGTATCTTTTGTCTCTATTTGGTTGGTGCTCTGTGTATGCAGTTTAAAGAATACTTGCTAGAAGCTATGAGTGTAACTCCTACCAGCTTGAAATATGCACAGATTTGACAAAGTAGCTTGGAAGCATTATATTTCAGAGCAATGTGGTAAAATTTCCTTCTTCTACTTCTCTCTATTTGAAACATAAATTAAATTTAGATGATACCCAGAAAAGAGAGTGGCACATTTAAATCAAAGACAAATGTCTTCTAACTTCTTTTTTATGCTTTTTTCACTATTATTCATAAAAGACCCTGATATAATATGTTAGGGCAGTGTAAAGGGTTATAATGATAAGTATATCTTTTCATTCCTAAACTCTTCTTAATCAAAACCAGGCATTTGCATCTTCTTGATTTTATCCCTACTAAATAATTCCTTCTCTCTCTCTTTGGCATAACTTTTATATTGGAATTGACAAGATAGTAACTGCAGAAGAAGAAATTATAATTCCATTTCATAATTTCCTATCTTCTCTGACAGGCTCACTTCCTGCTTCAGAATCCTTCTTCAACACTTAGAACTTCCAAGTGATTTTCTGTCTTTAGATTAAATATCATAAAGAATTTTGTACGAAGTGGACAGTATTATTTAAGAGTAGAGT